AGAGAGAGAGAGAAGAAGTAAAGACAACAAGTTGGTTTTGAACACCCTTAAGGTAAAGATTTAAGAGGCAGCCCCAGCCCAGCCCCGAGCAGGCGCTGCTGGGACATGTCCTGTGCTCACTGCACGCTTACATAAGGCTCTGCAGCTCTGCAAACACCCCGGCCACGGGGTGAAGTGGGGCCTTCCCCGCTCCCTTCCACCCCTTTCCCACCCAAGGGGCTCAGCCCACTCCCCTTCCCTTGCTGGCTCCCAAAGCTGGCTGAGCCTGAGTGCTGGGCTCCCCCTTCCCTTCCCCTCCCTGCCCAGAGCAAGGGAGAGGGGCAGGAATCACAGCCTGGCACTCCCAGGGGAGGGAGAAGTTGGGTTTTTAATTAGAAAATGAGTAGAAGGCAGCCCCTAGGAGATGTGGATGTGCTGGGCTAGGACAAGATGACCCTGATGGAACAGGGGGAGCTTTGGGATGAAGCTTTTGCAGTAGTTAGGGACCCATTTGGCGTCACATCACCAGATCACCAGAGGCTGAGCAGATGTCTTGAGAGCAGTGCAACCCCTCCCTGTTCACAATCCCACCTCTCACATGCAGAAATTCTTGCAAATCATCTGGTGTTCAAAAGGGCCAAAGTAGGCTCACAGCAGTTGCAGCAGCAACCTGACAAACAAGCCCCAAACACTCCCTGTATGTTGACACTGCTCCAACCTTTGCCCTTCCCATTCCCATCTGTGTTTGCTGATGAGGAGACCTTTCATGGCTGTTGTCCAAACCTGCAGAATTTGTCCTTGTGTCCACCAAGGGCAGGATTTTGACCAGACAAAGACACTGAGTGAGGTTTTGGGAGGCTGCTAGACGACATGGGTCTGGGATAGGATGAGGGATGGCTTCCTCTGAGCAAGCTGAGGAGGCCAAGAAAGCACCTCATCACTCCACATCTCCTAGAGGGTGAATAATAAAAGCCATGGGGAAAGATCAAAACGTAGGAGGGGACAGATGTGGGTACCAGCACCCCTCCTGGGCTGACACAGCTGCTCTTATGCCACTGCAGTGCTAAGCACCCCTTGCACTGAATGTAGGCTCCTCCCAGGGCCTTTGCAGGCCTATGAAGCAGTTAAGGCAAATGGAATTCTGTAGAAATTTGGGATTTGAACCATAAATCACCTTAGGAACCAGGGAGGCTTTGCCAAACAAAGTCTGGGTGCACTGCTCCCTAAGCCCAGATGGGGTTTGGAGACAGCTCTGCTCATGCTCTGCTTGCTCTGAAGAAGCTACTTCTGGAATTTAAATCTCTCATAATCTCTCCTTTGGGGGGCATTAAGGTCCAAAATATGAACTTCACCAAACTCCAGCGTGAATTAATGTCCCAAAACTCACAGAAGGAGTTACAATGAGTTTTATATTTCCTTCAGTTGTCAGAGGGCTTTGAAGCCACCCCACTTGCAAGGCTCCCACCCAAAAAGCACCAGATTAACACCCTGCCCTAGGCTAAGTCTGGCAGATCCCAGCTGGAGCCAGGGTTAAGTGGTTCAAGCCCTGCCTCCTCCTGCAGCTTCATCTGCCTCCCGTGGCTCCCAAAACTCAGCGATGGCTCAGCAGAGCCACAGCAGAGGATGCAATATAGGCCATGAAGGGTAAGAACAGCCATGGAAAAGTGTATCCAAGAAAGAGACAAGTATCTCATTTTATATCATAAACAGACACGTCACAACACACCAGGTAATTTTCCAGCTCGTACGGGGACAGAAGGGCCACGAGAACACAAGACCTTACAATGCATCAGCCAACAGGGGTTAAAAACAGGGCCAGAGGGACATGCAGGGTCCTGAGCCTATTATGTACAAAAGTCCCACTGCTGCCTGTGGGAGGGGCCTCCATTGAGCCCAGATTTCCACAGCAAAAACATGTCCTGGTGTTCCAAACCCCCACACTCGCCCGGAGACCAAGGGATGATTCCCACAACACACGTCCCTCTTCAGACATCTCAGACTTTTAGTGTCAGGTGAACAAAATGAAAATCTGATGAAGGATGGGTTTGCAGTCAGGGTAAATGTGAGTTTTGTTTCTTGCTCTCTCCCAGGAGAAGGTACCCCAGTCCCAGCTGGCTCCTTGTTCACACAGGGACCCACCAGGGCAGGAGAACTTCCCTTCTCACTCAATAGCCACGCTCATTAGCAATCCCTGGAGATGATCATAGAATCATGGAATAGTTTGGGTTGGAATGGACCTTAAAGCTCATCTCATTCCAGTCCCTTGCCATGGGCAGGGACACCTTCCAGTACCCCAGGTCTCTCCCAGCCCTGCCCAACCTGGCCTGGAGCACTTCCAGGGATGGGGCAGTCACAGCTTCTCTGCGCAATTTGAATTTCTACAATTTTCTGTGGGCAGTGATGGATTCCTGCCCGAGCTGGGGTTGAGCTGTGCTGCCACTCAGTGTGGTGGGTAACCACTGGCTGTGTGATTTCCTTGCACTGTCTCGCTCTCCTCCCAGATCAGCACTGACCCTCCACCAGCTCAGTGACAACACACGGGCTACAAGTTAAACGCTACTGGGGCTGTCAAACCCTTTGGAAAACTGGGATTCCCCACCAATACTGACTCATGCTTATTGCTGCATAATACACAACTGGCCCCCAAAACCAGCAGAGGCACCCTGTGCCCTGGGCCAGCAGCATCCCCACACCCATGGGTACCCCTGAGCCCAGCAGGGAAGCCACCTCCCAGCACGGAGCTGACCCATGACACAAAGCTCTGTCCCAACCCTGTGTGCCTCAAAGCCACCAAAGAGCCCATTTTGGTGGCAATCCCATGGATTTGGCCTCACTGTGGGCACTGTGGGCTGTGCAAGGAGCTGCCCCTGTCTTCTGCAGCTCAAAAGCCCAATCCTCAATTGCTGGGTGGGAAAATGGAGGTGGAAAGCGGCCAAGGGACCTGCTGGTCTCATCCACGCGTTTTTAAGGCATATTTTGCAGGAAGGGTGTGCTCCCGCGTGACTCCGATGGCTGGAGCCAGCTGAGCTCCCTGTCATCCCAGCTGCAGCTCCCTGGGGGTGTGGGAGAGCAGCGGGAAAGGAGGAAAGAGGAAGATGAAAGCGGGACTCGCTGACATTTATTTGGTTTGTGCATCAGACTAAAGCAGCGTTTCCTCCTTTGGATCTCTGGCTCCAGAACAGCCCCAGGTGCTGGTCGGGGAGGAGGCTGTCTCACTTGGATGTGACACCCAAGTGACACTGGAGGAGGAGGAGGATGGACAGCTGCAAGGTTCAACAAGTTCCATCCGTGGCCTGCTTGGAAAAGGCATTTATTAGCTGTAAACCTCTGTCGTGACGTATAGAAACCCGGGAGAGGAGCAGGAGCTCGATCAAGTTTGAATCCTGGTGAGAGTTCTCCTTACAAAACTGGTTGGGGGAGGGGGGGAAAAAAAAAAGGTGGCTTTGAAATCAAAACTGTCCCAAAAAAAAAAAAAAAAAAAAAAAAAAAAAGAGCATTTCTGCTAGTTAAAAGCCTTTAACTAGAAGAAATATTTGTGTTTTCTCCTTTACAAACGTAGTGCATCTGCAATCACTGGGAATTTTGGTCCGTCTGGGAAAGGGCCTGTGCTGGGGCTACGGAGAGGCTGCTGGTGTCCCGGGAGAGCCGGGAGCGGCGTCACATGTGTGCTTCGGAGGCTGGGCAGCCCGGCAGCAGCTCCCCGTTCACCACCGCCTCCGACACCAGCATCTTGTCTTTGCCAGAATCCAGGCGCTGCTTCTTCAGCATCCTCTGGTGCACCAGCGGCACCACGGAGAGCACCAGGCCGCCGATGATGGGCGGCACGCCGGCGAAGTAAAAGGCCGCGTCGTAATTCCCAAAATAATCGTTGAGGTATCCTGGAAGAGAAGAGAGGTGATGACGTTGGAGCCTCGTCAGTCTAATGAGTTCGTTAGTCTAATGACTTGCTTGTTCCCTCCTTCGAGTGCAGCATGCGTCACCCGCCAGATTTGGGGAGATTTGGGTTTTTAAGATAATCTTTTTTTTCCGTTTGCATTTCTTGGATTTTTTTTACGGCCTGGATTAAAGGATGTGTGCAGCCAACACTGTGTACCAAGGGAGTGCAGAAGGAAAGACTCAAACATCCCTCCTGTTTCTCCAGAACAGGACACAACTGTCCACATCCCAGACAATCCCAAATGCAAGCTGAGAGGTGTTAAACCCAACACCTCTTCCCAGAGGCTTGCCAGCCAGGAGGCAATGGGGAAAGTGGGCAGGGGCTGCTCCTCTGCTGCTTGTCTCCATTTGGAAGCCCTGCCCTTTGGATGTTTTATCTACAGCTGTGAAATACACGCTGCCAGTTACAAACAATAGCCAAGCCTTTAAAACCCCACAAGGTTCTACATTTGTCTGACAAGTTCCAACATGGCCAGGCATTCTTGGAGAGTAACACATGGCCATTGATCAGCGCTGGAAAATCCCGCTGAGTGCCTCCTGTGTGGATGCTTCCCTGGGGATTAGGCTGATGCAAAGGGCTGCTTCACCCAGCAAGCCCCACTCCGGGGGTCCTGGTGCAGCACCCTCCCAGTGAGAGGTCTGTGATCCCCATGCTCCGTCCCGAGGGCGTTGAAGTGAACTTTGCTGCCGGAAGCAGAGAGATCGGAGCTGCTTATCCAGCTTTGGCTTAGTGCTGCTGATGCAGAGGTCCTGCTGCTCAGGGGCAGCTCTGGCAAAGCGCTCGCTGTTAAGGACGCTGGGGTTATTTCTGTGCTGGAACACAGATCCAGGTCTTTTAGAGACTCAGGTGTCTCCACCTCAATCAATTCCATCTAAAAGAACTTCTAGAAAATTATTATCTGCCAATTTTTAGCTGAACTGCAAATAGAAATACTTTAATGTGACCTTGGCTCACCGTTTCCCCAATCATCAGCCTTGAGAAAAGCCCTGAGATACCACAGGACATAGCATGGAGTGATGCCACCCCCATTCTTCAACCTGCACATGATCTGAGAAACCAGAAAACTCAAACCAGCGCTTCTGGTCTCACCCCAAAACACCACCATGGGTGAAAGCACCACCACCACGTCCCTCCCAGCCACTGGGTCCTGGCCCAGCCCCGTGGCGTTACCAACCTGCAATGGGCGTGCCCGCGGTCATGGGCACGGCCATCAGCCCCATGAGGTACCCTATGGCCTGGGACGCCTGCATGGGCCCCACCAGCTCGAAGGCGATGGGGGCCATGATGGTGGTGAATAAGCCGTCACAGAGGCCAAGGAAGAGGCAGATGACGATGACGCCCTCGAAGCCTCGGCACTGCGGGATCATCATGCACAGGAGGCCCAACAGCATGAAGGATGCAACCTGGGGGAACAGACATGGGTATGAGAGTGGAAATGGGCAGCAGGAAGAGTCATGGAGATGACACTGAACAGGTCAATGTCACTGTTCCCTCCCCTGGACCCAGCAAAGCCATCCAGTTGCTGCTCCTGTCTCAGAGAGGCCCTTAAGAATAACCTTTTAAGAAGGGTTAAGAAGGATTAACTGCTGGATTAGCTGCTAGATTTCAGCAGTTTGTTCTTCAAAATCCAAAAGGAGGTTAAAGGGTGTCAGTAGTTTGGGAAGAGTGGCTCCCATGGACTTTGATTGCTGAACAGACACCGATCCCCGGGGTCAAGTGTATAACTCCTCTTACACATTTCTGTAGTCAATTTTCTTCCCTCATAGCAGACGGTGGTTGGTAAACGCTTTGTCATTGAGAGTTATTAAGCAGAGTGAGGACACCAATATAGAGGTACCATCCCTGCCCCGTGGGGGCTGGCCAGCACCTCCATGGAGGGCTGGACACACTGTACCTGCAGGTAAATCTTCTTCAGCCCAGGAATGCAGTCGCCAATCCGGCCTGAAACCAAACGCCCCAGCCCCGACATGGCCCCGAGGCAAACCAGGAGGATCCAGTCCTTTTTGGTTTCCTGAAATTTCTTCTCCACGTATTTGACCTAGGATGGATGGAAGGACACAAGGACATGAAGCTGCAGTACATTGATCCCTCTCATCTCCCCAAAAGGGATGAGATTTCCTGCGGAGGGCTCATGGATTTGGGCTGGTTGTGTGACCCTCGTGTCCACACACACTGACCTGCACCCTCCACCCACCCCAAACCCAGCAGGCTCATCCTCTCCTGCCACTGGTGCTGGTCCTTAGGAGCACTGGGAAGTGACCCTGGCACAGAGAGGACACACAAAACCACATCCATCACAATTCCTGTTTACAGGATGAGCAGCAGCTCCTTGGCTTCAGTGCTTTCGGTGCCTCTGCACCTACTGCCCATGCCCACCTTCCCACCTCCTCCTCACTCTGGGCAAAGGGACCTCCCTCCCATTCCAGCCCCAGCCGTGGCTCTTACCAGGTTCATGTAAGGTACGAGGTATCCCAGGACAGCAGTGGCGATCCCAAAGGCCCAAATCCGATAGGTCTTTCTCCGGAAAACCCTCAGGTTGAAATACTTGCGGGTCTGGGCCCAGCACTGCTGCCTCATGCTCCGGCTGCCCAGCTTGTCGCGCCCGTCGTGCTGAGGGTCACAAGAAGGCGTCAGGATGGGCCGGTAGGTCATGGACAAGAAGATCTGGATGAGCATTAAGGCACTGAGTACTTGGAAAGTGTGTGCCAGCCCGATGGCATCCCCGACCATCTTCAGGAAGAAGGGGAGCGGCACGGAGATGAGGCAGCTGCCCCCGGCCACGATGCCGTTGGCCAGGCCCAGGCGGCGCTTGAAGTAGTGACCGAGGATGACCAGCGAGGGCTGGAAGGCGAAGGAGCTGCCACAGCCAAAGAGGATCCCATATGTGAAATAACGCACTTCCAGGGACCTGGAATAGCACACATGGGAGTGGGGATGTCAGGCAGAGGTGAGGAGGCCTCCTCCCCCACGGTGCTGCAGGGTCTCACGTGCCACGGGTGCTGCCCAGACAGTCTGACCTCGAGGAGCTTATCCCCTCACCAAAACCAGGATAATCCCCACCTTACAGCTGGCACACAAAATCTTCAGCAAAATTAAGTGGAGCTGGGAAGTGCTTTCTGCCACCAGGAGAAGGCAGCAGCCAACCTGGCCTCCTTGGGAAGCTGACTTTACTTCAGTGGTTATTAAATTACAGCAAACAAGATTTTCTAAGGTAGGGATGGTGGGATATTTTTAGCTAGAATTCCTTTTAATTTTTCCACTGAAAGTACTAACTGAAAACATTCTCCACCCAGTGTTTGGAAGCAGAAGGCACCAGCCCTGCTGGTTATTAGGCACGCAGGAAGGAAATGTGGTGTTTCTGCCCAGGCTCCAGGCTGGTTAATTAAGTTCTTCTTCTTTAAGCTCCTCTGGGAGCTTTAATTAGACAGCTAATAGATCTTATTTGTACCTTACATTGGTGGCTGCACTGGAAGAGGGAGTGAAGTGGCTACTCTACCAAGCAGATGGAGAGTTCTAAAAGCCCCTGGAAGGTGCTGCCTCCCAATTTCCAGCCCAATTTTCCCAACAAAGGCAGCTGACAAAGGAGCCTGGATTTAGGCAGCACAAACAACAGTTGTGTTTCTCTCCAGAAAGAATGGAAGAATTCTTTTCTCCATTCCCATGCAACACATCCAGCTGCAAAGGTCTGCCATGGGATACTGCCTGGGAGCAAAGTGCGAGGAAAGCCTTTGGGCAGCTCAGGGTGTTGTACAAGCAGGGTCTGTACTCCAACCCTTGGAGCAAGACTGAGAGTGCTGCTCCCAAGGCAAGTGAGGAGACAGCAGCCCACATCTACCAGAGCAGCTGGAAGTTGGGAAACCTTTACAAGCACTTCATGCCTTCCATTACACGCTCATCCCTCCAGCCTGCCAAGCAGAAAGCAGAACACGGTTGCGGTGCCTGATGGCGCCGAGACAAATGACTGTCATGAAAGGCAATTTCCATCCACTCCAGAACAAAACCACATCAGAAGCCCCCTCCGTGGGAGCCAGGCAAGCAGCTGGGCCTTGTGGGCCGTGCCCGACCTCCCACGCACCAGCCCTGGCCTGGTCACAGCAGCCCTGGTGCCGCGGCTGAGCTGACGTGTCGGATAAGTGGAGACAAATGCCACAGCTCCCATCTGCTCCCCAGCGATGCTCAGACACCCCTGCATGAGCAGGGGCTCCTTTCAGCCATGCTTCTTGAAGAGCCAGGATTTCCCAGCCTGCTTACTGGGAATCAGCCAGCGGCTGTCCGGTGGGAAGCGCGGCATCGTCCCCTCGGTTGTGAGGCTGCCAGTGGATAATGGTTTCTCCTGGGACAAGGAGGTCTCCCTCCATCGGCTTCCTCTTGCTTCCAGCTCTCAGAGGGACAGCCCTGGTTCATCCTTGCTGGCAGGAGTTTGGGGGATTCCTCAGTGCAGGAGTAACTGGGCAGAAATTGTGGAGGGGAAGGAGAAGCAGATGAAAAGGGACCCAATCCTCCCTACAGAACACTTAGTGCAGAGGAGGAGGGCTGGGAGGACACTTGGGGGCATGTGAAGACAGCCCTGCTGAGCTGGCCATCATCTCCCATTCCTCATGCTAAACCAACCCACTTAAACTGGAGGGAAGCTAAAGTCTCAACTGGGATTCCTCTTTTCTTGAGATCACACAAGGTCTCTGGTGTCTTGAGCTAGTTATGAGTGCAGGAGACACCTCAGAGCAAGGCAGCAAAGAGGAAGAGCCTCACATTGACCCCATCCAGCCTTCTCCAGAGCTTTGCTTTTCAGCACATTTGGTTTCTTTAGTGGTTTCCATGCAAAATTCCCAATATTTTGAGACAAGAGGCACTGAGCTGGGCGTTGGGGTCTTGCCACACAGTCTTGGTGCTCAGAGGGTTTTTGGAGCAGCTCAGTGCAGCGCTGGGAAGTGCTGCTCCTCCCTTTGGACAAAATAAACGCATTTTAGAGAAACTAGGAGATAAAGGGAGGGTAAGCCTTGATCCAGCTCTGCCTGAGCCCACCAAAGCCAGGCTGCATCCCTTTGCCCCCAGTACTTGTATCACAGGGGAATGATCTCCAGCTGCAGTGGAGGCACTTGGCAGGAGGGACCAAAAAAAAGCTTCTCCATTGTTCTGGGAGAGCTGGAGCCACAAGCCCCGAATTTCAGGAGCAGCCTTCACCATCCGGATGGAGCTGCCAAGTCCCGCAGCTCCCTGCTCTTCCTCCAGCCCCGCTCGCTCGGCTCTGCCGTCGCAGCTCCCCTCGCTCTGCTCCAGCTGCAAAGGGGCTCCTTTCTCCCTTAAAAGGCAGCCAGAGGAATGTGGTCCGAGAGTGAGAGGCAGGAAATGGAGATTTCAGTCCTGTAACTCTCCTGGAAATGATATTCCTCTCTGCCTGTACTGTTTGATTTTTATTTGTTTTTGAAGCCCGACACAACAAGCCCCTGGCAGCGGTGTGGTCCCATGAGCCCTTTTTTCTCTGTACAAACATTTTACAAAAGAGGGGGCAAAAAAGTCCAAGCTGTGCTGATTGGAAGGAAAGCAGGATTACATGGGAAGCTCCTGTGATCTGCATGCCAGGGCACAGCTCTCCCCAAAACCCACTGCACTTTTTGCCATTACCTTTGGAAACACAAAGGGTGGCACCTGAGGAGGAAGCTGCAGATGCCACTGCCCAAAATGGTTTTAGCAACCCAAAAACCCCTTCTGCAATTGGCCACAGTCCTGGGGGGTTTGCCTGGCGATCAGAACTGATCCCCACTCCCAGCATCATGGGGGGATTCCACAGATGAGGACTCAGGGATCCAGTGAAACAGGGCTGGGACGAGCACAAGGGTCTCCTGATCAGGAGGAGCACGCATGGGCAAGTCGTCCTCTGGAAAACTGGTGTGTATTTGCTTTAAAAACCCACTCCTTGAAGCATTTTAATTAAAACAATATTGATTTTAACTGAAATCCAACCCAAAGCAATGTTTTTATTCAGAAAAAGGGAGGCAAATGCTGCTTTGGAGGTGTCTCCATGGAGCCTCTCAGACTGTGTTTAATAAGTGTCACATAAATTACCCCCAGAGGTGACTTCTTTTTGCTCCCACAACGATGCCAACCCTAATTTCTGGGCTGGAAAGACACACAAGGTACACCTGCCATTGGCCAGTGCCTGCCAGCAGAAATTCATGGCATGGGATCAGGCCTGGAAACCAAGGAGCAGCAGTGGCCCTGCGCTGCCGCAGACACACGAGCCAGGGCAGGGACACCACAAACTGCTCCAAAGCCTGTCTGCCTCCCTTTTCCTGTCTGCCCTGCACAGAAACTCCCTCTTAGTTGTAATCCACCAAATATTATTTTAAGCATGAATTTACTTTCAGCAGCAAATGTGAAAATGGTTGCACAGGAGAATGGTTTTCTCTGTGAGTGCCTCTCTGGAGCTGTCTGTGAGAGACACACCAACCTCTCCTGCTGTTTTAAAGATCAAATGAGCGCTGAAATCCCAGAAAATACTGTCCCTTGCTTGGGTAAAATTTGCTCTCTTTTTACCTGATGACACAAGGTTCAATTTGGAGGGGAACAGGCTGAGCACACGTGGGCTGCAGGGATGCCAGGACATCTCTCATGTGGATGGGAACCACCTGCTTTGCCCCCAGAGGCAGCAGCAGTGTGTTGGCAGGGGCTTGCAGGGAACAGGGAGGAAGAGGAGCTCTCCAAGGAGCTGGGTGTGCCCTCCACAGCCTTACTTGGTGAAGGAGCTGGAGAGGAGCCCGATGAAGGCGATGGTAGCTCCCATGGCCGCTGTGGTCCTGCAGCCGATCCGGTCGGTGAAGATGCTGACGATGGGGGAGCAGAAAAAAATCATTCCCATGGCCAGGGAGCCAACCCATGCTGGGGAGAGAGAGGAGAAAGGTGATGGTCAGGGTGGGACATCCAACAGGGACCAAGTGCAGCTTTGGAGGTGTCTTGGCAGAGAGGCAGCCCCATCACACCGTTAATTAGCCGTGCTTAGTGCTGTTAATTAACAGTGCAGCTCATAAATGGCACAGAGACCTGGTGGCACCGTGGATGGGGCACGATGATGGAGTATGGACAGGTTTTCCTTGTATTCCTCTCTGCTGGGTTACTGTGTCCCAGGGAAGGTGCCAAATTTCAATGCCCTTTCCAAAAAACCTTGGCTGCATGTGGGAAGATGCCCCAGTGACAG